TCCCCCAGTCTGATATGTTTATGTTTATATCTTTATATTATATTTACACTCCCCAGCTTCATATTGACCTTTGCCATAAGCACAGCCTGCATAAACTTCAGACACAGTGCCTGGGATTTATGAGAAGTGAAGTTCAATGCTCTGGGGGATATTTACTCAGATGAAGGGGGCACGGTGGCTCACTGATGAAATACGCGAAGCTTGTCAGCTGGAAAGCCCGCCAGTCTGGGTTTGAGATTCACACCATGCAATGTTCCTGCCCACCTTGCTTTTGCTATGGTCCGTATAAACTGCAACCAAGATCTTTGCAAATACTCTGCATTACTAAATAGCAGTTGAACTTGAGCCTAGCCGTGTTCTTTCCCAGGTGCCTAATGTTATTATATACCCCCAGCTCCTTTCATGCCTGCATCGATGGTCTTATTCATGTTAATGGCTTGAATCACTCGTTTCAACATCAGTTAAATCCTAGGTTCTTCTGGGTACATCCTTACCCAGTGTAAGGATTGCCTCTCCTTCTTACTTAAGAAAGTGAAGACTCTTGAAACAAAGGATTTCAAAAGGAACCTTTTATTTAGCAGAAGTGAAAGCATGCCATTCAAAGCAATGTCTGGCTACCCTGAGGCAAGACAAGCAGAATTAAAGCAGTAGGGACCCCTCCCTCTAGCCAGATGCGGATTCAGCCAATCCACAGGTGTGAAGATGTTATTGTACCAGCTACTCTGAGAAAACAGATAAGCATACATTCCCATGGCCATCTTCCGCTGGCTATTAAAGGAAACAACCCACATGGTCCCCCCTATCCATCCCCCCCAAGAGATGAGAAAATCTCAGGGGGCTCCTGAGCCAGGATACAAGTTATAAAATACCAGTTGTCACAGGCAATACTAATGAATCCAAGCCCCACCCCCTTCTCCCAATTGAATGGCAGCATCACTTTTAGGGATTGGACACCCAAGGAGATCTCAGAGTTTTCTGCTGTAGCCCAACATCCAACATCCATCTAGTAAAATGAGATTCTGTCATGACCGATTTGTCCTTTCACCTACATTCTGCATCAGGAGTTCTTCTTCTGGATTTGCCAACTGGGCAGTTGACAATAAACCAGCTCTCTACCTGGACTCCACCTCCAGGCTAACCTCCAGGAGTTCAGCAGCTTCGAGATGTTGGCAACTGACAAAAAGGCAGATGGGGTGCGGGTGAAGGCAGAGAAAACCCCCTCTCAAGAGGCTCTGCAATGCCTCAAGTCAGAGCCAGGGTGCAAGTGATTGGCATATGCCCCCAAACAGAAGGCTGAGAAGCTGGAGGAGGAGCTGTCCATGCTCACAGGGGAAAGAGCGATGGAGGGACCCTATTGGGCCCCAAGTGGATGAGCAATGGGGGGAAGGCAGCTGAACTGATGTGGGGGAACAAATGGAAGTCCAGGCGAGTGGCCGAATGGGACAACCCAAGTGGAAGTTCCATGATGAAGGGACTCCGGAACTGCAAAACCCGGAGGCTTTCATGCAGGTGCTGAGAGACAGGTTCAAGGACCCCATGGCAGCCCAGCAACAGAGAACCTCATTCACTCCCTGCAGCAGGGCGAAAGACCATTGGCAGAGTACATCCAGGATTCTCACAGGCTGGTGGCTCCCCTGAGAGATTGGCCCAAGCTTACGCTGGTCCACCAATTCCGAGAGGGGTTGAACAAGGAGCTGTATCACCCACTGCCTACCCCAGGGGGTGCCCCGTGACTTTTGAGTGTGTGACCAGCTGCCAGGAATGCAGAGTTTGACCTGATGGAGTACTGGGCATACGCTGCACATGAGAACTGGCCCTACCAAAGTCTGATACTCAGCACCCTGGGGGGGAAATGGGGGGCTTGCTTCCTGCCACTGGAGAAAGGCTCCTCTGGGCCCATGAGCATGCTTTTGGTGTCGGAAGGAAGGTCACTGCATGGCCAATTGGCTTGCGCTGCAGCCAGCATCTGCACCAAGAGTCGGCCGAAGCTGAGAAAACTACCTGCGAAGCCGAAAGAGAAAATGCGGGTGGCTCAACGGGTCGGGGAGGTCTCTCCCCAATCCAGAGTGGGTGGGTGGGAAATTCTGACCCACATCAAGCCTGGCTTGGCTTTCTATGAGAGCAACAATAAAGCGGAAGAAGAGACTATTGGTTTTATTATGGCTCCTGGAATGAACCAGAGACAATGGTCCTAGGACTAGCCTGGTTGAGGAAATGGAACCCATCAGTAGATTGGGACAGCAACAAAGGGGGAATGAGGAAAAAAGTGGCTAGCCGGCAGGAGCCATCAAAAAGGTCAAAAAGATACTTGATTCCAGATGCCACAAGGGACAACTACAATACCTAGAGTTGTAGTGTTGTAATGTACCCATTAGCAGACACTGAGTGGGTGGTTGCTCCAGACGTTAGGCTGGCTGGCTTAGTTAAGAGGTTTCACATTAAATACCTTCACTAAAAACCACACTGAACACCCTTTTTCCAAGCAACAGAGACAAATTGCTTTATTCCTCTCCAATAAGCATCCCCATCAGAGGTGGGATTCAGCTGGTTCTGACCAGTTCTGGAGAACCGGTAGCAGAAATTTTGAGAAGTTTGGAGAACTGGCCAATCCCACCTCTGACTGGAGATTTTACAGTCTCCTTCCCCTGCCAGGCCCACCAAGCCACGCCCACAGAACCATTAGTAAAAAACCATTGAATCCCACCACTGATCCCTAGGCACAATGGTAGCACACTGACACTAAGACAGAACTTCCAGGTGAGAATTGTATTGTGCAATTGCCTGACTCAGTCTCCCCACTATTTGTAAGCCATTCCCTTCCCCATCCCTTTCCTTATCTCACATTCACACACATTGGCTAAATCAGTGAAAGGGAGTAATGAGGCATAGCTGTCCAGCACCTTCCTTTTAGTAATCCTGGGAACAGCCTCCATCTGGTAGCACCTGGAATGAAAACACCTGCTGGTTATTGATTCACATCCAATAATTGTTGGAGGCTGATAGTGTTGGGCAGACGGTTCTTTGGAAGCAGGAATATTTTTGTTTGTTGATGAAGCTTGATAATGGTTCATATATATATGAGGAAAATTAAGACCATTCAAATATCCAAGTGCTCAGAGTTTTGTGTTTTGGATAAGAAACACCTTCGCCCGGACTATTTAAAGAGTTATTTTTTTTAATGAACAAATTGATATATCTGCCTGAACACCTTCCAGCCAAGCCTGAGGCAGGGGGACAGGTTTCTGCTTGCTTGTGAGGGTTCTCAGCCAGGCTGCAGGTTCAGGAGCTAATCATACAGCAAAAACGGGCATTTTCCAGACCTGATAAGGCTACTAGACCTGAAAAGGCTCTCTGGAGCCAATGGCTTGATGCTTAAGAGACTGCCAAGTGCAGGAAATCAGGAGCTAAGGCTGTTCAAATGAATACCGGTTTATTGTATGCTAACGCTCTCTACAAGAATCTGAACTACTAATGGTCAAAGGGCATTGGAGGTAGGTAAGAGTCAATGGAATTCAAGATGGGCTGGTCTCAGTCAACCCTTTGATTTCTCTGCCTCACGGGAGACAGCTTGTACCTGGGTTAGCCTGGCTCCTCCCGCCTCCTTCCTCTGCCTTTCCTGCCCTCTCAACCTACCAAACAAGCAGAGCTATTTTCTTCTCCAGGTGCCTGGCTGGGCCTGGGGGAGGGCAACTTGAAAGAGGAGAGCAAACGGTGGTAACACCATGCTTTAGGGCAGCCGCTTCAAACTGGGCAACTTTAAGGCTTGTGGACTTCAACTACCAGAATTCCTCAGCCAGCCATGAAATTGAAGTCCACGAGTCTTAAAGTTGCCCCGTTTTAGAGTGAGTGATCGAGCAAGCAAGAGGTGTTTATATGTGCGTACATGTTTTTGCACTGTGGTACCTAGAAATCAAATCAATTGGGCAAAATAACATCTGTAACAAAATACTATTTTCTAAGGCATGACAAATTTTATAACAAACCGCACTCTCTGCTACCCATTTCCCCTCTCCCGCTACTTCCCTTTCTTTCTGTACAATGTTTTCCAGGCTAGAAGTCTGGTTTTTATTTTCATAGGAAAACTGCCTTTCAAACTGGAGGCCAGGTATCAGTGGTTCAAAAAGAGTAAGGGGAAAAGAATCCTACTTTGATTAGGGATACAGGTAGTCCTTGACTTATAGCCATAATTGAATTGCTATGGTCATAAGTTGAGGCACCCATGTGACAGAAGAGAATATTCTAGTCTTTTTCACAGCAGTTGTTGACTGAAATGCCACATTGTTAAGCAAACCAATTCATTGCACATCACAGTCACATGATCATTATAAAGCGGACTTGTCTGGCATGTGGTCACATAACCAGGAGAAGGGGGTCATAAGTGGCTAACAGTCCAGCAGATAGGCTAAAGAAACAGAAGGATCTTGACAGACTTAAACATTGAGCACTATCTAACAAAATGGACTTCAATGGTGAAAAAAAGTAAGGTTCTACATATAGGCAAGAAAAACAAAATGCACAGGTACAGTATAAGTGGTACCTTGCTTAATAGTAGTAACTGTGAGAGGGATCTTGGAGTCCTAGTGGTCCATCACTTAAATATGAGCCAGCCAAGTTGTCAGGTGACAGAACTTTTCCCATTCGATCAACTAGAATGAACTTCTGGAAACATATCAAAAAGGAATCCCTTATTGAAATGAGACAATTCATGTAGGGGTTAAAAGCAGCGTCTAAGGTCTCTCAGGCATGCAGAGATAGATAAGGGAGTTTAGAACCCCTCCCCTTCTCTCAATGTGTATTTTATGAAACAAAAGCCAGTATGTTTATTCCACCCCCACCCCTTCTGAAGGAACGATCTTTTCCAGTTTCCCAAGCATACATCTCACTGGAATTTTTATGGTCTTCTCGTCTCCTGGCTGTGCCTCTCAGAGGTGATAGGTTCCGGCCATCTGGGATTCCTCCCTCCATTGTAACATGTCTGGGTTATACAAATTTGATACAAGATTGAATGTATTCAGGTTACATCAAGAATGGATTTCTTTATCATCTCCCCACCCCACCTTTTCTTCTTCCACTGAAGAAATGACAGATACATGGATTTGACACGAGGGCTGCAGCTGTTAAAAAAGCCAACACAGTTCTAGGCTGCATAAACAGAGGGATAGAATCAAGATCACGTGAAGTGTTAATACTACCTTATTAATGTCTTGGTCAGGCCACACTTGGAATACTGCATCCAGTTTTGGTCACCACGATGTAAAAAAGATGTTGAGACTCTAGCAAGAAGAGCAACCAAGATGATCAGTGGACTGAAGGCTAAAACATATAAAGAACAGTTGCAGGAACTGGGTATATCAGTCTAATGAAAAGAAGCACTAGGGGAGACATGATAGCAGTCTTCCAATATCTCAGGGGTTGCCACAAAGAAGAGGGAGTCAAGCTATTTTCCAAAGCACCCGAAGGCAGGAAGGCAGAAGCAATGGATGGAAACTAATCAAGAAGAGAAGCAACCTAGAATTATGAAATTTTTTTCCTGACAATTAGAACAATCAACCAATGGAACAGAAGTTGCCCTCGGAAGTTGCGGGAGCTTCATTACTTGAGACTTTCAAGAAGAGACTGGACTGGACTGGATTTGTCTGGTGTAGGGGGTCTCCTGCTTGGATGCATGGTTGGACTAGATGACCTCCAAGGTCCCTTGCAACCCTGATTATCTGTATCTGTAATTTCTGATTTCTGATTTCTATTTACCGGTCGTTAAGGGAGGACTACCCCTTTCACATTTCCTTTGGTAAGAGATTCACAGAAACCTCCCTGCAGCCCAAAGCTGTTTGGCAGTTTTACTTTTCTATCCCTTGCTTAAATGTGTCTTTATGAATATTTCACTAGGGTGATACCAAACAGTAACCCAAAGACAGCTCTAATCGATGCTTTGTAAGATGGCAAATTGTTCTTGACAAAACATTGGAAACCATTTAGGAAAGGATGAATAAAACATGCTGGAGCCACGTGCCAATTAGACATTTTGTGATGTTAGATTTTGTGAAAGCTATTCATCCTGCAAAGTCTGCTTCTGATTCTTGTCAAAAAAAATTTGCTCTTCACGACTGAGCAGAGGGCACCCTCTTTTTCCCGTCTCTTTCTCTTCCCCTCCATGCAGGCACTTAAATGCTCGGTATTTTGACAGCTTCTGCTCATTGCAATAGCAACAGCTTAATGAGAATAGGCAGAGGCTCCAGATCCTTCAGGTGAGAGAGGATGCTCCAACCCTCCTGGGAAATGTGAATGTGGCGCCTTGGGGTTGGCCCAGAGTGGGGCTCATTCCCCAGGCTGCCTTTCCTTTCCTGAAGTTTGGGCAAGTTGAGGCAATGCCACCCCACTCTCAGCTTTGCCCCTCACATTTGTAAGGTGGTGATTTGTTACAGTTCTTTCAAGTGATAGCTGCCGGTGCAGTCAAGGGAAAGGGGCGAGGTAAGGTGGGATGGTAGAATCTACCTAGCTTCATGGTTATGCCACAATTCATTCTGCCTTGGTGCCTCAGCATCATGCTGATGTTCCTACAGAAGGAAGCCAGTCCGAATAGCAGCTCCCTGGGACCACGGCTGGGGACTCCGTGTCTTGCTGGCCCCGAGGACAGAGCGGGTCTTCCTGGTTGCTCACTGTCCTTTCTTCCATAGCTCACTCATAGGTAATCCCAGTCGATCCCCTTTCGTACTCCATCGGCACCACTGGCCAATCAACAGGGGCTCTTTTTGGAAATGCATCTAGTGCTCTTTCAGGAAATGTCTAGAATTGTGTCCAGGACAAATTAATGATGTGAGGAAGAGTTGCATTGAGTAGAAGCATCGGGATTGCCCCCTTTCACTCCCCCTTGCAGCCCCCACCCTCAAACTACGGTTCCTGCTCCCCAAAAAACCAGGTGAAATCTACCACCCACTAGGTTCAAGCCCTATTAAGGAGACCAATTGGGGGTAGATTTACCATAGGAAGGTGATGCTTGCTGGGAGACAAAGCAACATCTTCCTCCACTTGTCCCAAAGTGAATTGGTCAGACAAAACCAAACTGGGATCCATGACTGGACTGCACCATGTCTGCTTCCATCCTCTCCTGCTGGTTCAAGGCTCAGTGAAGAGTTTTTGTATGTACTTTGGGACAGTGGCGGGATTCAATTTTTTTCTACTGGTTCTGTGGGCGTGGCTTGGTAGGCATGGCAGGGGAAGGATACTGCAAAATCCCCCTTCCCTCCACACCCCACTAACCTGCTTTCCAGCTCTGTTATCCTGTGCAGGGCAACCAAAGAAGACCCAGCCGATCAGCTGGGACTCGATGGGAGGCAGAGAATAGATGGGGTTGGCGGGGCCAGTCAGAGGTGGGATTTGCCGCTTCTCCAAACTACTCAAAATTTCTGCTACAGGTTCTCCAGAACCGGTCAGAACTGGCTGAATACCACCTCTGTTTTGGGGAGGAGTTCTCAGATTTTTAGAGTTGGTTTTCTGGAATTTCAATTTCTGGTGCTCCCCAATGCAGATTCGGGGTTAAAGTCTTGAAAGTTTAAGTCTCCTCAATGTAGGCTTCCTTGTCAGACATTTGGATTACAAATAGAGGCAGTCCTTGATATACAGCTATTCATTTAGCGACTGTTCGAAGTTACAACGGCATTGAAAAAATGTGACTTATGACCATTTTTCCATTTATGATCATTGCAGAAGTCCCATGGTCACTTGAACAACATTCAGATGTTTGGCAACTGACTCCTATTTATGACAGTTACAATGTCCCCTTGGGGTCACATGATCCCCTTTTTGCGACCGTCTGAGAAGCAAAGTCAATGCGGAAGCTGGATTCACTTAACAGCTGTGTTACTGAGTTAGCAGTGTTCCACTGAACAACTGTGGCAGTCATAAAATGAGGCCAAACTTACTTAACAAGTGTCGTGTCCCTGTCGGAGTCTGAATCCGAAGAGGAAGATGAACAGCTGACAGGGAGTGTGTGTGTGGCTCCGTTGGCTGTGGAGGAAACTGGGGAATGGCAAAGTCCGGTTGGGCAGAGCAGGAGAGAGGTAGAACAAGGGAGAGGGAATTCAGAGGAAGACCCAGGCCCACCCTGGGAGGAAGGGAGAAGGGAGCAATGTGAGTTGCGTGGCTTACGGGTGAGGAAAGGGCCCTGATTCCCTTCATTAGCCACCGCTGGGAAGAGAGTTTAAAAGAGATGCATGCTGAGTGAGGCAGCTGCTGGGAGCAAACGTGAGTTTATCTTGTGTTGACTTTGCTTATCTGCGTTCCTGGTGTTCTCCCAACCGGGTTGAATTACTTCACATCTAGAATTCCTTCTCCTGCTCAGATGGACTAATCACCTCATTTTGCCTTGATTGGACTTATAGTTGCAGTTTTTGTTGACCACATTTTGGACTGGATTCTCTGCAGCCAAAGCCTGTTCCTGGGAGAGTTTTTCTCCAGCCAGAAGGTAACCAGGACATTGGGGGAAAAGTTGGAGCTAATAAAGGGACTCCTACTGATTATCTGACTGTGTTGCCTTTGTGCCACCCCACTTTGGGTCATCACAACTATTCTCACTTAGCAATTCTTGGGTTCAACTGAGGTCATCAATTGAGGGTTGCCTGGAGCAGCTTGCAGAGAAGGCAGGGAGAACCAGCCCTGCATGGACCCCAAACCTGCTGGCCTACAAAAAAAAGGCAATTTCTCACTCCATTTCATTTCCCCCTACAGCCAAGAGGCAGGCGAGCAAGAACCAACCCAGAGGTCAGATCAGGGCCTCCCTCCAAGCATCAGGCTACAGGGACCTGGAAACACAGGAGCTGATTGCTTCAATGGCAGAGGGCCTCTTGACATTAATTACTATGTAAATCCAGCAGATTAACATTGTTGGATGATGAGTGACATTTAGAATGCATGTTTTCAGGTGGAAGTTGCCATGGCAATCTTCTCCTTTGGAAAAAAAATATTAGGAACAGAAACACCATCTTGAGTACCAAAACATATGGTGGCCAACAATGCCCAGATGCTACGGATGGCCTTTTCGGAAGGATATTGTGATGTTATGTGTTGCCAAGATCCAACCTTCCTATGTCCCATGCTCTTCCCTCTATCTTATCAAATGACAATGTCCTTGAAAAAGAGTCTCAGTTCATTCTTTCTCAGCTTTGTCTGATCACAAGGAGTTGAAGTCCACAAGTCTTAAAAGTTGCCAAGTTTGGGGGCCCCGGCCTTAGAAGCTCAGCTCCATCCAGCTGCAGGACACCCCCTGTTGAGCTACAGTGAACCTTTCCCTTTTTCTTCCTTTCCCAAAGGTCTGTAAAGAACATCCTCACTTTCAATCTCTTTAGGTATCTGAGGTAAATTAGCATTCTGTAAGTACTGTTTAACTCTTTCATCATCAATATTCTCTTGCATATATAATTTCCCATAGAAGTCTCGAATGATTTCCTTCTTCTCTTTACTACCATAGCAAACTTGGCCTTGGTCATCTGTTAATTGCAATATTTTCCTTGATTCTTTCTCCTTTCTCAGTTTGTATGCTAACCATCTACCTGGTTTGTTTGCGTCTTCAAAGTAGTTCTGTTTAGCACCTCTAATTTTCTGTGCTAATTCTTCTTTTTCTATTTGACCCATTTTATGTTTGGTTATATCCATTTTTAGCTTGATGTCCTTTTTCTCTGGCATTTTCTGTAGCTCTTTTTCAAGTCTTTTATACTCATCCTCTAAGGCCTTAGAGGCTAGTCTTTTCATAGTATTCCTTTTCCTTATATAGTCTATTATCAAGCCTCTACCATATGCCTTCATTGTATCCCATACATTCTGCATTGATGTGTCTTCTTTTTTATTTTCTCTAAAGAAAAAGGCCAGTTCTTTCTCCATCCTCTGTACAAAGTCTTTTTCCTTTAATATTATTTAACGTCCATCTAGATCTTCTTTTTTGTCCTTTCCATTTAATTGTCATTGGATTGTGATCTGCCCAAGTACTTGTTTCAATATTTATGTCTTGAATATTA